TCGTTGCTAACAGAAGATCGACCATCTTCACTTGAGGTTCGGTCTTTATACTGTGAGGTGACGTCACAATTCTGAGAGCGATCACTCCCCTCATTTACATACTTATTTGCTAACAAACTTTTTTCTGTTTGTCTGGCAGCCTATTTTTCGACAATACTCGCTGACCTTTTACATTATTCTTTTTGACAATTTTCAGTATGTTTTATTCTTTTAAGGTTTAGCAAGTTTCCTAAGTTGTGCTTGTGGGGTCTCCCCCCTTTTTCTCGGTGTGGACTTTTCTCTGCTCAGTAGCGGAAGTGTGTGCGATTTTTAACTACGGTGCTTTTCTCTCGTCGGTGAGTTGATTTCTTTTCTATTTTTAAGTTTCTAAGGTGAATGGTGAGGAAACCTTTGTCCTAACAAAACATAAGCCCCAAACAAAAATAGAATAATAAGCAAAATAAAAGTAACTAAAAATAATGCTCGGACTTGGTTCCTTACAATGGTAATGCCAACCAAGGCCCAGCTTCCATCTACGGTTATCCCAGCACTTCCTGCACAGGACTCTACTGCTTGACTACGGAAGAGTAATACTCGGCTGATTGACCATGAATTTACAAATAGTCAAGATATGGTTACAATTACTTGCTCCGGCAGAATTGCATGTCCTCCAAATAGACTAAACTTGTAAACTAGTTCAATATGTTTGCAATCTCGCAAGATCTGTAAAAAAGGGGGGAGATGTCATATGTATGTCCGTTAGAAAGGTTGCCTGACTTCCAATAGATGATGTTTAGTCTGGTCTACTGCACGTGGAATATATATTTTGTCTATCTTCCTGCCAGAACCACTTTTGTAAGAGACCTTGTGCTAGTGACTTGTGTCTGTACGTTGTTCTTTGTTAGGTGCAATAAAGTATATTCAGTCACTGTAATAATACTCACCTTATTATTAATTAAACATGTCAGTGTAACCAAACATTACACATGGTACTGTAGAATAAGGAGGAATTGGATACAAAATAAATATAAGTTATGTACAATATACTGTTTAATTTAATTAAATTGTTTATTCTTTTCAAGTGGGAGGTATTAAATTTTTAAAACTCCTATGTGTACAGCCCTCCTTTGAAGACAAGTAAGAAATGTTGGAGATATTTAGTTTTCCAATATTTATTATATATTTATAATCATGTCAGAAAATGAACAGGAAGATTAAAAATATCACCAGTTGCAAGATAAGATTAGTCATCAGATTTTTGAATGCTTGAAATGTTTGCCTGGTTGAAGTTTATTAGCAAATTTCTAAGGTGTATTGTGATTTGTGTGAGACATGAAGGAATAATGAAATGTTTTTGTAAATATTTCAGCTTGAAAAAAGATTGAAGTGGCATTCATCAGTTGTAAATGTGAACAAGTGAATGAAATGATATGAGTAAACAGAAGAACTACCATATCTCAATTGAATATCTTATTCTCAAAAATTTCTTGAATTGCACTGTTCAAAATTATCACAGAATACCTGTACAAATTATATCCAAGATAGGTTTTGAAAGTGCTTACAAATGAGCACAAAACAAACCACATGACTGCAGCATTGAAATTTCTAGAACAGTTTGAATGATTTGACAGTGAAGGAAATGACTTTCTGGGCCTCATTTTGACAGAAGATGAAACCTAGATTTCTCACATGCACCTGATAATAGTAACAATTGATGCAGGGCAGTACGGTGAATCTCTAGTAGGGTTTGGGAAGTCTCGACATTCTCAAAGTTCCGGGACATGAGACAACCCACGATCAAAATCCCAGGATGTCCAGGGACTTCGAGACTTCTCAGAAAAAAATTAGAATCGAGTTCATTTTTGGCGAGATGTATCAATAAAAAAGCAACATTTATTGAACATAAAATCAAATTCTAACATTTATAACGTTAATTAAAGTCTAAACAGTTCGTATGTTTAATTCTTATAATCATAGATTCAGTTTTTGGTAGTAAAATCAACTTAGTAATCATAATAATCATCGCCTAGTCTAAATAATATAATGAACTAGCAATCAGACATTTAAAAACATCAGAGTATTTACAGCTTTGTCTGACAATCTGTTTCTGATTTTTGTAATAATGCCTCCGGACAAGGAGAACACACACTCGTTTTCAACAGGTGTCGGTTCTATTGTGTTTAAAGCTTTATAAAGTAGTTCCAAACTTTCAGTACGTTTTCCGGTTGCTTCAAATAACTGGAACTCATTGTTTAATGCTGCTCTTCATCTTTTTGCAGAAATTTCGGGTAAATTTTCTTCGATTTTTTTGATTGCCTGTACCACTTGACTTTGAAACGACTCATCGGGTTTGTTGTGTACTGTAGAGCTACTGGTAGTGGGTTCGGCGTCTATTATTTCCAAATCTGTAGTTTGAATACGAGGGATATTTTCAAAAAGTCTGTAATACAGATCTTCCGCAAAAGCAATAAGTGCAGTTTTATTCAAATTCGAAGTAAAATATCCGTATTTTGCGACTGTGAACAGTGGTGGCCAGTGTGCAAATATTTTAACAAACATTTAACAGAGTAAGGTTAAAAGTCACANGTTTGCTGAGCTGTTCCGTGACGAAAACAAGCTTGAGCAACGGCGATGTTGAATGGTGCACACTCTGTAAGTAATCCTACAATTTTTTGTTTATAGCATAGTTTATACGGATTATTTCCAAAAAAAATATGCGTATTTTGGAAATGTTGAGTCGGATTAGTCTAGAATCGATTAATTTTATGGAAGAAAACCTTTCAAACAGCTGTAGTCTGTAAACTCCACACGTGTCGGGCTGTGATTGGCTGTGATTCCAGCAAAATCGGATTCATAAAGAACGGAACGTATCTACCATCTTATAGGGGGATCTATTGTATATTTCACAGATTAAATTTATCTCCAAAATTTAGTTAGAAGAAAACAATTATGTAATTGTTCAATAATTTTATACCAAATCTGATTGTATTTTATAAAAATAAAATTATGTAACTCAATAATAATGGTATGGCAGTCTAATTGCCTATATTTATGTCAAATCATGTTAAAGCCAAACAAGCACTGGATTACATTGGATTACTTTTCTGCAATTATATTTTAATTAATTACTAAATAATTTGTCACTAGAGAAAGGCATTAAGTGTCATCTCTTATTAAATTTAATAATTACAGTTAAATTAATATTTATTAAATAATTTAGAATACAGTAGAGCCTCGATTATCCGACTCAATTGGGGACTGGGCTTGGTCGGATAATTGAAAACTCGGATAACCGAAAAGTATGAAAAAATTCATTATTAGTGTAGTATATTATTATATCCCATGTAATTAGTATATTAGTATATTGCTATTAACCTGCTTTGCGCTGAATTTTCATTGATGTTAAGCCTAACAAAATTTTTTAAAATAATAATCGTCGCTATTGTATCGTTAAAAATTAGAAAATTAAGCCTTTGGCTCCCTTTCATGGTCGAATGAGTGTTGCCAGCTAAAACACGTAAAAATAATATTAAAGTAGCCAAGTCATAGCCAAATATTGTAGCGCCACATCACTAGCGGACATTTGAAATTTGCCGACTAGAACGGTCGGTTAACCTAGGTGATGGTTAATCAGGGGGTCGGATAATCAAGGCTCTACTGTATTCTGGAAGAAAAGAATCGGCCTGAAGCGAGACTTGAACCAGCAACTCTTATTTGCTGTGTGGATGCATTGCCAGTTATGCTATCCAAGTTTCCAGTCTGATCTCCTCTTCCAGACATATTTAAACATGATATAACTGGCAATGCATTCACACAGTAAGTGGGAGTTGCAGGTACGAATCTTGCTCTGGGTGGAATTTTTCTTCCAGAATATTCTAAATTATTTAATAAATATTAATTTAATTATAACTATTAAATTTAATAAGAGATTGCATTTAACACCTCTCTCTAGTGACAAATNTATTTTGGAAATGTTGAGTTGGATTAGTCTAGAATCGATTAATTTTATGGAAGAAAACCTTACAATCAGCCGTAGTCCGTAAACTTCACACGTGTCAGGCTGTGATTGGAAGGACTCGTAAGAAATCAGATTCCTAAAGAATGGAACGTATCTATGATCTTATAGGGGGGTCGACTGTACTGGTATAGATACTTTTGTGGTAGGGGAACATCACTACCTGCATGGAGATCACTTGTACTGTGATCTCCATGCAGGATAGGTAGTTTTTATTAAATGAATTCCTGAATCATAGAACAACAGTAAATTTACGTGATACACGTCGTCTAATTCTTGTGAACGTTGTACATGTATATATGCCATTATCACAGGTGAAATAATTCATATCAGAGTCACCTCGACAAATGTTAGTCAATTAAGTGCGGCAATGAAATGGTGTCGGTTATAGTGTAATTTGTTATTGCTGTTATTAAACATGTTTGTCAACTTTCTCATTATATTTTTGTAAAGTCCTCAATTTCTTACCCCTCACTTAATCTTGATATATTCTGTTATATCTGAGATACAACAAATATAAATTTAAAAAAAATTTAAACAGAATAAGAAGCTTTAGATAAGATGAAATGATCATTCCTTTTTATAATATTTTTACATAATGATGAATGGCAATCCTCTGACAATTTAACAATAGGAGGAGTGAAAATGATGTTATTACTATGAAATTTGATCAATCTTAGTATGATTTATAAGTATAAAAACTAATTATCACTGAAGTTTTTCACTTTCAATGAATCACCATCAAAGTTTAAATTTTAGAATAGAAAGTATCTCAAAGGTAAAGGCCCAGATCATTTTTCTTATTGAGAAAGTTTATTCTGTTTTGTGATTACTCATTTTATCAAATGGGCTTATTTCATTGTTAACTGAGCATTTAAGTATTTAAATATGACATATATATTCATGCATTTAAACATGGTTTTTGACAATTGTATATTTAAAGCTTTAATGAAAATATGTTCTTCTATGTTTTCTATTCTTCTAAAATATGTTAACTATATTTTAGGAAAAGTGGGATGGATTAACTAGAAGATGGCAAAATATTAAATCATTTGTACAATTAGTTCGGCTTTTTATGGTAGATGAGGTAAGCTATTTCTTATTTTAAAAATACTTAAATTGTTTATGTTATTTTTGAAACCGTGTTTGATAAATATATTGGACTTCGAACTCAAATGTGAATTATAAATAAACACTTGGCTTTATTTCCATCACTTTTAATTGAACATTATTCTTTAGTTGAACATTATTATAATTGAAATTTTTCTATACAACATAGAAAAATTTCAATTATAGAAACGGCGACCTCCATCTAAAGAATAATGTTCAACTAAAAAGTGATGGAAATAAAGCCAAGTGTTTATTTAAAACTCACATTTGAGTTCAAAGTCCACTTAAATTGTTGATTTCTTTCATTTAGAAAAAATCTAAAAACAAACAACAAAATTTTAAGAACATCTCACTTTGCTCAAAGTTTTTTATATTCAATGTAAATATAATTAATAATTGAACTGTTTTTAGCATATTTTTTCCACTTTTTCTCATAATTATATTCTTTTTATTATATTTTATAAATTTTAATCTAAATATTTGTGTAGACTTTTTAAGAATATTATTTATTTTTTTAGTTAAATGCAATTAAAATGGATGTTCCAAAACATGCTTGTTTATTTATTTCAATTTAGATAATATACTTGTTTATTACAGTGAATACATATGCAATAATATATATAGAAAATTTTTCTGTGAAATTAAACCAACCTCTCATACATATTTAGTTTTAATTACACAAATGTATTTACATAACAATACAAAATATATCTACATACAAAAGTAAAAACAGATAAATTAACTACTTTGTCAATTTTTTAACATGCATTCGGAAAACCTACGTTATTATATAATGGACTTTTGGCCATTATATAATAACATAGTCCATTAAATTGAGATTTTACTATAATTAATAAGCACATGATTATGATAAATGTGCTTTAAGAAAGATAACATATATTTCTTACATTTTCAATTATATACAACTTTTTTGTTTAATAGTTGTAAATTTATGACTTAAAAAACCTATTGATATAAATATGAGTTTAACTTTGAAAAATTTAATGATGATAGTATATAAACTCTTATTAAAGCATATTCAGAATGTATGTGATCAAATAATATGAATGTAATATGATATAGAAAATTTATGGAGGAGGAGGCTAGTTTATTAGAAATGTTGTATGCTCTTCAGAACTTAGTGTAATGTTGCTATTGAGAACAAATCATACAAGAACACTCCTTTTGATGGAAAAAGTAGACTTATTTTCTATAATTTACAAGGGATAAGTATTTCGGGCTCTATTTTTTTAAAGTATTTCTAAGTATTTTTTAAAATATAATTATCTAAAAATAATTGACAGTTGCAATAAATGTAATAAAATGTTGTATTTATATACTTATTTTTTAATTTATTTCGGTTTTACTTGTTTTTTCCCACAGTTTTAATAATTAGTTATTCCAGCTGTCACTATAATTATTTTAGGTAATTATATTTTAAAACATTTTTGTGAGTTACACTTATGTTAAATATAATTAAATACATTCTGTAGTTTCTTATGTGAGGGGCTAGCCGGGGGTACTGAGTGTAAGACTCTAGTATCACTTAATCGGCAACTATTCCTTGAGAATAGCCCTCTGATTGTCAATAAGAATGGCTTTTCCTAATTCAAGGAAAATCGAGTGTGGAGGGACTTACAGATTGAACGTTAAACTTAAACCGGGACTAAAAGATTTCACAATCCCTCGTTCCCTCGTTAGGATTCCTGACACCAGTTAATCAAATTTAGAAGATGTGGATTAACACGCATATGACAATGATAATAAGGTTTTGATTCAGACACTTGAGAGACATTTCTTTAACAATAATTAAAAAGAATTTAATAAAATCAAAAATAAACAAATTTACACAAAAATGGAATAATTATAACTAAGCGATTTGAGAGAGAGAGAGAGCTCACAGTGTTTAATGATAATCATACTACCTCTAGATGATTTCTCTTTATCTTCACCTTTTAGTTTATCTACTGAAGTGTAGATGGATGTTCATGGAGTGGTCATGAGAAGCACTTAATTATATATTTTCTTCTTTCTTTACTAACTTAATTCATTATTAGAGTCTACTGGATACGACTAAGGGTGTTGGCCTTAGGGTGTCAATATGGAATATGTTTTCCTTCTACGGAATCTTGTGGCATACTCCTAACTAAGGGCGTTGGCCTTAGGGAGCCTATATGGAATACGTCTCTCTTCTGTGAGATCTTCTGGCGTACTCCCCGAATATGGCAAAACTCTTTCCATATCTCCTCTTTTTCATCCAATCAACACTTTGGATTCTTTCACGTGAATAGAGGAAAAGGGGATTTATCGAGAGGTCGACAATTCTCAGGGTGCTGAGATTTTTGGTAGATAAGGGTAAAACAGAAGGATATTCTAACTTCCATTAAAGGAAGTGACTTTCTATCTGTTTCCCACATTTTTTAAAACAATATGTTCACATGAAAAATTAAAGAATATTTTCTTTCAAAATTTACCGTAATAATTTAATTATTAATTAGACACAGAGTCTATTCAGATCTCACACTTATATAGTTTGGTCAATGTACATAACAAAATAAGGGCTGAAGAGGGGCATTAAGCCTGAAATGCATATCCATAGTAAATTATAGAAAATAAATCTACTTTTTCCATCAAAAGGAGTATTCCTGTATGACTTGTTTTCAATAGCAATTTTATGCTAAGTTCCAAAGAACATACAATTAATTGAGAGAACAGCTGGCAATCAAGTACTAGAAATATTGTTATTTATCATTGAAGTACCAAAATTTATTAAGTAAGTTTTACATCTTTTAAGTCTTTTAGTATTTTAATCTTGCTATACAATTTACATATAAAATATTACACATTGCATAGATTATGATTTGAATAGTTAATGAAAATAAAGACTTAGATAACATTATCCCTTTGAAGCTAGTAAGACATAGATTCAAATATTTAAATGAAACTTATACAGAATTTAATCAAAACCAAACACCTGGAAATAGCACCTGAAAAAGATTCATGAGGGAGTTTAAGATTTCATCTTGATTTGTAGGCACTGTTTAAAGATGTATAAACAATACCTGACTATAGACTGTATATAGCAGTGATTCCCAAACTTTTTTAAGCCACCAACCCCTTGATTACATAAACTTATACCCAATGGCCCACTATCTGTTTTCCCTTGTGTGAGAAAGACTTGGAAATATTCTTAAAAAAGCTTATCTATGAACCTCACACTTTGTGTCTTTATTGTACATTGTTGTAAACATCTGGACACCATTAAACGCAATGTTTCTTCTTAGCCATTTTAACAGAGGAAAGAGAAGGGTTGTCAGTGACCTGAATCCTTGTCTATGGTCTTTGGTCCTTCTGCCTCCTTGATTTACTCATCGTCCCTTGAGAATGGTAGTGCCCACTTTGGGAATTACTGGTCCACAGATATATAGACTTACTAAGATCTGTGCCCTGCTGAAGATCCTCTATCGACAATGTATAGCAAGGTTAAGCTTCAGTTATGTCTACCTATACCATTGTCCCTTCATCTCTAAAGCTGTCTGCTTCCATTGAACAAATTATTTCAGGTGCACACTTCTCTTCATATATAAAATTAACAGAATCAAGATTTTCACTAACAAGTCTATATCAGATGAAAAAATAGTAAAAGTAATTATTTTATTTTTTTAGAATAATATTTATTTATACGTCTCTGTAATCCAACAAATGATAGACGGANAGTGTGCAAATATTTTAACAAACATTTAACAGAGTAAGGTTAAAAGTCACACGGCCTTTAAATTACCCCCACCTGTGTTGTTTATTTGTAAACAGAAGGGAGTGTTGCTGGGCTAACCTTTTGAAAATAAAATTATTACAATATAATTTTGATAAGCGTGTCTCGAGTCTTGACCCGAATGTCCCGGGACCCGAGACAGTTAAATTTAGAAAAAGTCCTGGGACTTCGAGACACAAGACGTCCCGGGACCCAAACCCTAATCTCTAGTAACAAAGAAGGTCAAGCAGGTATTTCCTGCATTTAGGACATCCCAATACTGCTGATACCAATATCATATTGATACTTTTCTTCAATACTGAGTACTTTTTGTACTTGATAATTTTAGTCCAATGCTGATACCGGTATTGATACTTTTCCTGTCTGTGAGAAATATAATGATTTGCTATTATTACAGTTTTCTTGGACAGGTAAGTCTGATGAAACCAGATTTTGCAGTGGAATCAGAAACAAAAATGAAATTTTACACTATTTTAAGTTAAATTTATATAAAATATATTAATGACCAAAAATATATAAATGTTAAATAAAAAAATAGTAAAAAGACATGGCCGGCGGTAATTACATTTAATAAAATTATAAAAAATACGACATTTTTACAAAGGTGAGAACCTTGTTTCTGTCAGTCTTTCCGCCGTTTCGTTTTTACACCATCAGCGATCCTTAAGACAATTCACAAAATTTTCCGGGGACGACCTTCCTTTTAAGGCTACTGCCTCGGCAAAAAAATGTAAAAACAGGCAAAGCGTCCTCTGGTGTTTGTTGCCACTGTCACAATATCACATTTTAAATAAAAAAAATAGTAAAAAGACATGGCCGGCGGTAATTACATTTAATAAAATTATAAAAAATACGACATTTTCACAAAGGTGAGAAACCTTGTTTCTGTCAGTCTTTCCGCCGTTTCGTTTTTACACCATCAGCGATCCTTAAGACAATTCACAAAATTTTCCGGGGACGACCTTCCTTTTAAGGCTACTGCCTCGGCAAAAAAATGTAAAAACAGGCAAAGCGTCCTCTGGTGTTTGTTGCCACTGTCACAATATCACATTTTAAATAAAAAAAATAGTAAAAAGACATGGCCGGCGGTAATTACATTTAATAAAATTATAAAAAATACGACATTTTCACAAAGGTGAGAAACCTTGTTTCTGTCAGTCTTTCCGCCGTTTCATTTTTACACCATCAGCGATCCTTAAGACAATTCACAAAATTTTCTGGGGATGACCTTCCTTTTAAGGCTACTGCCTTGGCCATGTCTTTTTACTATTTTTTT